TTTATGAATTCAGTTCAGAAGAAGCGGCACGAAATTGGCCCGGGGGGGGGGGGGGGGGGGGGGGGGGGGGGGAGGGGAGGGGGGATGCTTCGCACGCGCTCATCCGAAACTTCGACCAAGTTTTTTCCGTAATGTTCGTCGGGTGGGGTTCCCTCCGACGTGCTGTAATCGCTTGAAGGTGTACTACATCACGCACCAATTGAGATTTTGAAGGGTAACGTATTTTTACGTTACCTTCAAAGAAAATAAAGTATTTTTTTTTTTTTGAAAGCTTAGCGTTATTTAGAATCGAATGCCACGAAACTTGTAGAGTGCTTCCAGTTCATTCAAATGTTTTAAAGGAGTATGAACAATTTTTGTACTTTGCGCAAATACCGCTTAAAACGGATCCCTAACGTTAATGACCAATGAAATACGCGTTCGTTTTTCACCCCACGCAATAGAAGTCCCAGAAAACAATTAAAGAAAAACGAGCAGCGTTCACCCCCTCAACTCGCAGCCAGAACAAGCGGCCACGTGATCTGGAGCCGATTATATGCCGCCAGTGTTGATCATAGCCACGCGCTGGGGTTGGCAAAGCGCAGGACACGCGCTGAGTTCCAGACATTGTTATGGCTCGGCTATTGTCGTCGTTGCAGCGGTTGGACACGGGTCACTACCCGAATGCTTCTCGAGCTAGCAAATATCACGAGCCCAAGTCGAGTGCTCACGCAATTCTCGGGTCCAATCTATGAACCGCATTCAAATATCGTCACTTGGGTGTACTGCGATCCCCACGTTACGTCCTCAAATTTTGCAAAGGAGAGATTCAATGAAAATGATCGCTTTTGTCCTTGAAATTACACCCCAACAAAGGAGTTTCTCGGCCAGTGGAGTTGCCTGTGAGTATCCTTGAGTCCCAGGTGTGCCAGTAAGCTCGTGTCAAGTGAAAAAACATTCCAATTGAATATCGTTGCACCGCTCCTTTAAAGGGGCGATGCAACAATTTTTGTACTTTGCACAAATACCGCTTACAACAGATCCCTGATGTTAATGACCTATGAAACACGCGTGCGTTTTTCACTTCACGCAATAGAAGTCCCGGAAAAAAGTTAAAGAAAAACGAGCAGCGTTCACCCCCTCAACTCGCAGCCAGAACAAGCGGCCACGCGATCTGGAGCCGATTATATGCCACCAATGTTGATCATAGCCACGCGCTGGGGTTGGCAAGGTACAGGACACGCGCTGAGTTTCAGACATTGTTATGGCTCGGCTATTGTCGTTGTTGCAGCGATTGGACGCGGGCGACTACCCGAATGCTTCTCGAGCTAGTAATTATCACGAGCCCAAATCGAGTGCCCACGCAGGGCACGGGTCCAATCTATGAACCGCATTCAAATATCGTCACTTGGGTGTTCTGCGATCCCCACGTTACGTCATCAAATTTTGCAAAGGAGAAATTGAACGAAAATAATTGCTTTTGTCCTTGAAATTTCACCGCAACAAAGGAGTTTCTTCGCCAGTGGCGTTGCGTGCGAGTATCCTTGAGTCCCACTAGTGCCAGTAAGCTCGTGTATAGTGAAAAACATTCCAACTGAATATCGTTGCACAGCTCCTTTAAGAACGGTCTAAAACTTTTTATCACTACTATCTATTTTATAGGTTGATTACTAGGCGCCGAACTATCTGTAACCTATCCTGCCCTACTAGCTTTTAATATGTTTTTGATATGATCAGAAAATTTGTCTACTCAATTTCACAAACGTCTGCGGTGCAGACAATTGCAGGGCCACGAGCGCGTGGCTTTGGGTAGTGCCTCCCATGCACGATTTCTCGTAGAAACAAAATCATTCTGTTGAGCTAGGCTCACGCGCCCGTGCCTTTCTTTTTACTGCAGAGATTTGTGAGGTCGAGTATAGTTGAAAAAAGTCTCGTTTACTCAGTCTGGTTTTTTTACACGGTACTTTTTAGGCTGAGCGAGAAAAGGCGATCTGCAATGTTTGGCCTTTATAAACCCAGATCAGAAAATTTAGATCTGGATGACCTCTGAATTTACAGATTCCAGTAGTCGGTAAAACGTGAAGAATGTAAGAGCAACCAGAACATGACAGTTGTTTTCCGTCGCGCTTTCGTTGCGCGTGCATCGAAGCGCTATTAGAAGTAGGAAGCTGGCGCAAGAGGCGGAGATTCTACACCATTCTTGACATGTCATGAAATACACTGACATTTTTCCATAAACAAATATTTAAAACTTCGCAAGGGTCGAGGAGGGCAGCAAAGAAATAAGTTGCAAATGATTCCCACAGGAGTAATCGTGCTGTGTTGGATAAGTTTTCTACACACGTTTGTCGGAGAGAACATGTTCTTTGTAGCTTTATAAACTAGAAAAAAGTAATAAAACTAAACGAAAGAACACTTAGCGGGATTCGGTATACAAAGTTAAACATTATCAGGGAAGGTTCCGACTGGTACAGTCCCTAACAGCATAAGAACGACAATGAGGCCTTCAGCTGTCCCGCCTCTAGCAGGAGCTTCCAGGCATCGATAGCAGTTCAGCGTATATTGAGCGTCGAGTGTGCATGGGAATTCAAAACACGGTGGAAGAGAGTTAGCACGTGCTGGTGGTCGGGCACGCGAAAAATTCGCCTTGCGCTTTTCGCAGCCCTCTGTGCGATTATAGCGATCGAACTATGGATGGAATTATGTCTGAAGCATACTCATGTCACTGTGCTCCGCCTAAAAATTCGGAAAAAACGAACAAAAAAAACATGCCGAGGTCATATCATTTGGAGGTATCAACGTCCAACCTACCTACCACCTGTGCATCTTCAAGTCTTCGTCCACGAGCGCCAGTGCTCCTAGTGAGAGTCAAACTTGGCCGAAGGAGCCAAGCTATGCGGCGAATGTAGGCTGTACATTTTTCTCATTCCCCGGATGACAGTGCGATGGAAGCTGCGAGACCGCCGGGCCAATCAAACGTCTCCCTTTTATCACTTGACTCCGCCCCCCTACGCAAGGGCATGGGCGGGAGCATTGTCACGTGGCAAAAGATAGGACTTCTTATTGGTCCATGGATCCCGCGGCCTCCACCACACTGTCGGGTTTAGCAGCGAACTGAGGACGGCGGCATCCTGGCGTCGGGCAAGGCTCGAGGAACTCCGTTCTGGTCCTCTGGCTGTGGTGCCCGAGTGCCCTCGCCGAGGCAAGGCCTTAAAAGGGGCTTCTCTGACGGGCGGTGACGCTCGCGGCTCACATTTTCCGTACCTTCCCCGACCGACGCCGACGTGTTTCGGGCTCCCAGCCGTTCCCTTCTGACGACCGTGGATTTTGACCAAGATACGAGGTGAGGCAGCCGATTGAAATATTGCTCTCCAGATAGCCAGCTATCAATATGGATTAAGGGGCCAATGCTTACAGGGCGTCAATATCCTGTTCAATTACCGATTGATTGGAAGTTATTATATGTCTCAATCACATTCTTCTCATAGATAATATCGCCACTACTCGGCTAAGGGCCTAGTTTATAAAGTCTCGTAATTTTGAATTTTTAAGAACGTACTTTATTATAGGGTTAGCTTTTCTTTTCCGTCCTGGCCAGTGAGCGATATTACAATTATTTCTTTTTATTTTGGCGTAATATTCGTTACCGATTTGGGTGCCTCCATTTATCTGATCATATTACAAATGATTGGCAATTCGGAAATTACATCCGGGATGCGAAGCCATTTACTAACATTTGCATCTAGTTCTCTTACTTTATAACGCCATGGGAGAATTTAGTAATACGGCCGATTTGGCAAAGATATCTGACTTTGGAGCTTTTACTGACCTTTGAGTGCAGGACAGGCACCTTCTATCTTTGTAAAGTTTAATGATGATTTTTCATCGAAAATCATCCCCTCCTACGCCAATGCGTATATAACTTAGTAAGCCATTTGTTATGTCTATGAATGCCTCCCATGAAGTCGTTTAGACAACTAGATGAACTGCTTCGATGGAAACACTTGACGGCTAAGCTTTTCGGAGGCGACATCAGTGTGTATTATCAAGATTCATAGATATTAAGTTGCTCTGCATAGAGTCTTAGTTTATTTTAAGGTGCAATTGCTATGTTTGACACCAAAGGTTGCTATTTCTACATATCATGTTTCAGGTTATTAGATTAGGTTTATATCTTATCCGTAAACGGCGCATGACGGGCTGTGACAAAAATATTCAATCGAATATCCGAATGACCCCACCTTGGGTAGATTTGCTAGATATGTCGGAGGCTTATCCATTTCAGAACGAAATTGCAAGTGGCACACCTGCAATTTTTCAGACATGAAGAAACATTTCAGTTCAGCGTTGTGTTTGCACTGAAAGGTTCGAAATTAAACGGGTGATTACAAAGCTCCAGTGGTTCCGACAGGCGATTATTTAACCAGACTCGAGGCCAATTTCTTCACCCATTGCACTGAATCACTCATTTGTCGAGTAGAACAAATTTCATTTTACGTAGTGATCTGTATTCGAAAATTTGGTTTAGCTGCCTCGTTACTACATTTGTCCTAAGCTGGCGAATAGAGATAAGCTTGCAAACTCAGTGTAATACTGATGTCTAGTGTCCGAATCGGGTAAGCTAGCGCCATATCTGATCTGCTTCTCATAAAGCGAGCAGTGATATCGTTCGGAGATGTTTTTTTCTTTCTGGTGGCGCGTGAAAAGAACGAAATTTTACTGCTATAAACCGTAATTCGATGACAAAAATGGAACAGCATAACACCGTAACCAACCCGAAAAAGAAAAAGAATTTGGATTTTGTATCGTTCTTGTGTGGGCTGGTAAGAATAGACAACTCGGGTATCAGGATAACAATGCTTTGGTTTATTCCGTGTTGTTACTTATACAGACGAAGGTGGAAAGGGGTTAGTGTAGTAGAGGGCAAGGGAAAGGCACGTGGCAATGGAGCATACAGATAGCTTGTCCGCCTTGATTTGATACGATACATCCTCCTTCCCAACGGTCGTTCACCGCTGAGCTCAACACCTCTGGCTCGTTTGCTGGAAGCGCTCGTCATAACGAAATCGCTCCGGAGGCCGCTTCTGTCGTGTTGTCCTTCGCGGTGGCTGAACCGTTGGCTGCTGCGCTGCCGCTTGTAGAGTCGTCGTAGTTGCCGTTTGTAGAGCCGTCGTGATGGTTGGCGCTGTGGATGTCATTCCGTGTGATGAGGCCCGGTCGTTGTCCGAATCTTCGTCGTCTGACAAGTCGACCTCGCATTCTTCCTTCGTCGCTAAAAGGTGTCGACGGTTGCGCCGAAGTACGGTATTATTCTCCGTACGCACGTAAAAGGACCGCGGCCCGGCTGATCCAACTACCTTGGCTTTCCGCGCCCATGACGCTCCATTCAGGCGTACCACGTCGTCGTTTTTAAGGCGGGGCAGCACCCGCTCGTTGTGGCCTGTCTGTCGGTGTTTCTTGACCCGTATCGCAGGAAGGGGATCGAAGTCCGGCACGGGTGTGCGCAGCCGCCTTCCTTGCAGCAGCTCGCCCGGAGACCGACCATCTTCGACAGGACATGCCCTGTAACTTAATATGCCAAGCCAAAAGCATTCGTTTGCAGCTTTCGTTTTCTTTAAGATGCGTTTGATTAGTTGTACACCCTTTTCCGCGAGCCCGTTAGATTGGGGGTATTGCGGGCTGGATTTCACATGTTTGAAATCGTAATGCTTTGCAAACAGCGCGAACTCGTGGCTGCTAAACTTTGGGCCGTTATCTGAGCATACCTCCGTTGGGATGCCGTATCTCGAAAATATAGCACTCAGTCTATCAATAACCGAGGTGGCTGTTGTGTCGGGTAGGAGCTCCACCTCTGGGAAATTGGACATCGAATCGTAAACACACAGATAGTGTCCTCCGGAATACTGAAAGAGATCGACAGCGACACGGTACCATGGTTGAGTGGGCGTTGGTTGTAGAATCAGAGGCTCTGATGGTTGCTTATAGGCATATGTTCTGCAGGTCGGGCAGCTTTGGATCAACGACTCGACGTCAGAGTTTATGTTCGGCCAGTAGACTAATTGCCTAGCCCTAGCTTTGCACTTTACCGTGCCAAGGTGGCCTGCGTGAATCCTCTTTAACATCTCTCTGCGCATGCTCGTGGGAATTACTACTTTCGTTCCTTTCAAAAGTATGCCGTCTACTACTGAAAGTTCGGCGGCAACTGATTTCAGCGCCCCTTCCACTTCGTCTCCCCTCCCGAGCTTTCGTAGTACTACGCTAAGACACGGATCAGTAGCGGTTTCATGTGCAAGTTTCGCAGCAGTTTTTTCACTTACGAGTGCTGATACGACTGTGACGGCGTGAATTTCTACGTCGCCCGTGTCGGCGGCCCCCTTGTTCCCAGGAGCAGGAGATCGAGAAAGCATATCAGCCAGGGCCATCTGCTTGCCAGGAACAAATATCAACGTGTAATCGTATTTAAGCAATCGTAGGAAAAAACGTTGCACTCTTGGCGGCATATCGGCTATGCCTTTCCTAGATATGTTTATCAGCGGGCTGTGGTCGCTCTCGAGTATGAGTGGGCGACCATACACAAAATGGTTAAACTTTTCGCAACCGAAAACCAACGCCAAAGCCTCTTTTTCAATTTGCGAATATCTCTGTTCCGATTCACTCAGCGCTCTCGACGCGTAAGCGACCGGTTTCCAGCAGTCCCCATGACGTTGTAGGAGTGCGGAGCCAATGCCACTTTGAGATGCGTCTGAAGTTATCTTAGTCTCCAAACCTAGGTCAAAAATAGCAAGCAGCGGTGCCTCGCTTAGTTCCTGACATATGGCTTGCCACTCGTTTTCATGATTAGGTGTCCATTCAAAAATGACGTCTTGTTTGACCAGGGAACGCAGAGTCGAAGTGCGCTGGGAAAGTGACGGTAGATACTTGCTAAAATAGTTAACAACCCCGAGCAACCTTTGTACTGCCAATTTGGCTTGTGGCTTTGGCATTTTGAGAAGACCGTCCACAAGGGCGGGATTGGGGCTAATGCCTTTGTGGCTAATGATGTCGCCCAGAAACAAAATTTCTTGAACGCCGAATTGGCATTTGGCTGCATTAAAAGTTAGGCCCGCTGCTTCAGCTGCCTTTAGTGCATCGTGCAGCCTCTGGTCATGCTCCGCCCTAGTCGCACCCCAGATCAGCACATCGTCCACGTATACACGTATGCCAGGAAGGCCCTCGAACACTTCGTTGAGGGCTTTTTGAAACACCTCACTAGCTGACGCTATGCCAAATGGAAGGCGTAGAAAGCGATAACGGCCGAACGGCGTGGCAAACGTGCATATCTTGGATGATTGCTCGTCCAGTGGGATTTGGTGAAACCCCGCGTTTGCGTCTAGACGCGAGAAAAACTTCGCGCCTGCCAAGTCCGCTTCAATATCTTCTCCACGAGGCATTTGGTAGTGTTCTCTTTTCAGGTTTTCATTAATCCTTCTGGGATCCATGCATACCCGCAACTTGCTGTCTTTTTTTAGTACAATGACTAACGGGCTTACCCAGTCCGTCAGGCTGCTGACCTTCTGAATGATGCCTTCGCGTTCCATTCGGTCCAGTTCTGCACGAAGAGGCTCTCGCAGCGACAGGGGAACCCTTCGAGCTGGCTGAACGATTGGCACGGCGTCCTTGCGTAGCAACATCTTGTATTCTTTCGGGGTACGCCCGGTTCCGTGGAAAAGCTGCGGGAATTCCTCGAAGACTGCTTCGGTGTTGCTCGTCGACACGCCTTCAACAACGCGATTGACGATGCCTAGCTTCTCGCTAGCTGCCAAGCCTAAGATAGCGCTGTGGCCGTTCTTTACCACGAAAAATTCGGCGCATATCTGGCGGTCGCCTACCGTCCCGGGCGATAAAAATGTACCGACGTGCTTGATGACGTTGCCACCGTAGGATCTTAGAACAGCGCCGCTGGGTTTCAGCGTCACGGTCTTGAACTTGCGGAACACGGATAGTGGTAACACGTTAGCTTGTGACCCTGTGTCAACTTTGAAACTTAGGTGTTTGCCTTGAAGACACGCGTCCACCAGCCAGTCGCGTTTTTTGTTGGCGCTGCCGACTGCGACATCCAGCACCTCGAAGTCGTCGTTTTCATGCTGTACCTCGTAAACGGCATCTTTCTCGCGGCAACAAGATGCGAAGTGGTTCCGCCCATTGCACGAGTAGCAGGTCTTTCCGTATGCCGGGCAGCGTCGCAAGGCATGCCTTCGATTGCAGCGCGTACAGTTCGGGTTGCGCCGGGGGCTTGTCGGAGCGTTCTTGCTGGTCTTCATAGCGTTAACGTCGAGTTCTTCACTTGCCTTACGCCAGACTTCATTTTGACGAGCTGATGTTTCTGCCGCCTTGCATAAGATGACGACCTTTTCCAAGGTCAGGTGTTTGTCCCTGAGCATCTTCTCTCGAAGCTTCGGCAAGTTGGTTCCAAACACCACTTGGTCGCGTACCATCTCGTCTGCCACGGTCCCGAAGTTGCAGTGCTGCGCTTGTCTCTTCAAGGTACGTAGAAACTGCTCGAACGGTTCCACCTCTCCCTGCAGACGGGAGCGGAAGACGTATCTTTCGTGAATTTCGTTTTGTTGCTCCACGCAGTATTCTTCGAATTTGGCAGTCACGGTGGCGTAGTCTTTGTTTTCTTCTTCGGTGAACACAAAGTTGTTAAACACGTCCAAGGCTTCCTCTCCCGCCACGCTGAGCAGCAGGGCTGTCTTTGCCGCCTCCGATCTCGGCTTGTCGGTGCTTGCTGTGGCTTGAAGGAAAAGGTCGAACCTCTGACGAAACAGTTTCCAGTTTCTTCCTCCATCAGCTGTCAGTTGTAATGGTTCAGGCAGCCTTAGGTGCTCCATGACGTCGACCTTCACGTTCGGTTCAATCCCACTTCTGACACCATGTATCGTTCTTGTGTGGGCTGGTAAGAATAGACAACTCGGGTATCAGGATAACAATGCTTTGGTTTATTCCGTGTTGTTACTTATACAGCCGAAGGTGGAAAGGGGTTAGTGTAGTAGAGGGCAAGGGAAAGGCACGTGGCAATGGAGCATACAGATAGCTTGTCCGCCTTGATCTGATACGATACAGATTTGCTGATACGAAGTGAGTGCCGCGGCAAAATAGGATCGGAGACAGGCTGACATTTTTATTGTCTGCTATTTCATTTGGTAGCGACCGACCATCCTCGCTTCTCTTGCTAATCTTGGATTGCTCTGCTGCCGTTGAGGAACTGAAATCCACCAGTGGAAGCGCTATGGGACTAGCGCATCTGAAGGTGCGAGACCTTTCTTTCAATTTCTTATTTGTTGAAGTTCTTAACGAAATACTGCCGATCGCGGACACACCAGAGGGTGAATAATGATGATTAATAAACAAAGACTGACAAAAAGTTGTGACGCCATGTCCAATCACCATTTGCAAAATCGCTCTCACCATTCACAAAAATTGTACCCCGGGAATACATGTATATCTAAACATTGTACAAAAAGTCAGTCTGCGTTCAGACGTCCGCGTTTTCTTTAGTGATATATTATCTAATTACTTCAAATTCCATTGCTCAAATTACATGGAAAGAGGAAACGTACAAGGCGTTATCAGCCTGTTCAAGTGAACTATGGCTACTTCTGTGTAACTTGCAGTTTCAAAAGTATCGCGATTAAATCCAACACGATTGCCATTTTTCTTTGTCAGAAAGTTGTGATTGAACAAGCAAGCATGTCAATCTGAACAAACTTCAACGATGTTTAAAGATAAATTTACATAGTTATAATGTCGTTAAATCCAAGTCCGAATCTCCAATGACTGTCCGATTCGACTGCCATTGGGGCAACCCCGTTAAGCTGGGCAACTTCGCACAGTGTCGTCCACTCCGTGGGCGAGCAACGATAGGAAATCGATGGCAGCATTAAGGAGCGCATTGATTGACATTATCTCCTCCGAACAGAGAGCGCAACATTCAGGCGTTCTCAAAAGCACAGCACCTGACTGGACAGTCTCACCCAAATCTGGCGGGGAGGTTGCTTCCGCTCCGGTGATCCTAACAGAGATTTAACTTGCGGAGCTCATATACCCCTTATTGTGTCAAAAGAGACGTTATAGGTAGTCGTAACTTGCAAGTACACTTGGATACCTAAGTTGAAGCTACTAGGACGAAGAAGGAGACATCCCAAACAAAGTACGACTTTTAGTTGCGTCGCTAGCCTTCCATGTTTAGGAAAAATTTGGTCACTTTATACACTTGACGCAATTTTAACTAAATTCGCGCAAACGTTTTTTTTTTTTTGTTTTTGTGGACGAAGTTTTATTTATAACATTTTGGGACATTCTTTTATTGTGCCCTTGCTTTAGAAGTTCTCAATAAAATTATATTAAAAGGTGATTTCAGCCGGTAGCTGCAGAAATCATAATATTGCATCGAATAAATATGGACGGCCAAGTTACAATATCAATTAATATTACACTCAAACTCAGAAATATGTACTTTTTACGTTGAGGCTCGTTATATTTGTCTGCACGACGTCATGGGAATACATTTTCTTTTTGTAAAATCTTAAATTTACGCTTACCATGGTTTATGACACCGTAAAACACATATCCCGGAGGAAAATTAAGATTTCACAATTTCGATAGATACATTTCATTCTTTCGAATCCTTTCTTGTTTACCTCAGTGTATTAGGCTTGATGAATCTGCCATGCCCGTGTACACCAACATACTGATGCCAGTCAACCCTCAAAAAGACTCATGGCCATAGGATCGATGATATAAGGTGTTTCCAACACGATGCACATTTAGAGATTCATTGGGTCCTCCCAATAAGGCTAAAGTGGAATATCTCCCAATTTGGCTGCAAATTTGGTACGCGACCGATTTCGGGCAGATGCTCCAAGCTTCTCACCAACGCAAGTGTGCCCTCTAAAGACACGCTTCCTCTCTACAAAATCACTTTCATCGAAACAGCGGTTTCAGGAATCGTAGACAACTGGATCAAGTAAAAAGCCAACTCTGGGTTGGCGAGGCGGAGCAAAGTGCTTAGGTGCAGAAATGTCGTACGTTGTGTACAAACTCAGATCAATTGGAGTGTTTTCACTCTATGCAACCTATCCTGACAAGTGCCATACAATGAGAAAGATTGGGCCGCAAGATGCCGATCACAAAGAACTGCTGAACGACATCGCGACTTTACTTTCAAGCTTAAATCATAAGTCTGGAATTCAAGCGACACAAATTTACCCTGTCATGTACAGACTTCAAATGTTTTCTTACCTGAAGCCATGCCTCGGTTACCTTTTCTAGACAAGAGTAAACTGCGTGAGG